TAGATCGACAATTCAGTGAATTCACAGTTTCGGTGAAAACACTTCTTTACACCGCCAACCGGTTTATTAAATTGTTAGTGTTATGAATATATAATATAGATATGCAGCAATAGATACACTGCACGAAGCCGCTCTTAATCGTGCTCTCTCGTCGTTTTGATTACGTATTTACAAATTACAGATACAATATTTGCGACAGTGTTCATTATTTACATTACTAATATTGTGCATTCCATTACAATATTCTGCATTACATTTAACAAATACAATATAGTATTACTTTTAGAAGTACAAGTACATATTTAGACGAGGATATACGAAATTTTCTTTGTAACTTTTTACCAATTCCGTGGCCTTCAACGGCGCTGATGTAATCAGTGGCTATGGCTAATCAGTAATCACGTACATAACTGGTAAATCTACTGTTACAAATGCATTTCATAAATTAAGTACTTATTAAATTGTATTGTGCGATTTATACTGACCATGATAGTTAATAAGTTTACGGAAGTACGTACTTAACACGCGTACGAGGTACAATTTAATACAGTACTGTACAGTAGGTTTAAAATGGACACAAGTACGACTCATACAATAATTTATACTGTACTTATACGAGAACGATAATAATAATCAGTAGCCAGTTGAGAGTTCGCAACGGTTTTCTCCAGTCCAGCGAGACTGCATTTTTATAATGATATTGTACGAGCCAGTGACCACGAGAAGCCAGTACGTACGTACAAGACTCAACCCACGGGCACGGTGCCAAATACCAATCAACAAGGCAAGATGAGGCTGTGGCGGTTTACGTATATCTGGCACTTCCAAGTTCCAGTACAGCAAAGCAAACCGCTGAAACCAGACATGTGCATTCCTGAAGCTTTGTGACATTTGTCAGTTGCATTTGCCATCAAAATCCGTATTCTGGTTTGTTAACCGTTGACGATTTTCTTGACTGTTCTGATTCCTTATTTCTTTTATAACCTCAACGGTAATAATTATTGTCATCGGAGATTTATTTATGGTGAGTATTCAATGCAGAATATTGAATCTCGAGGGAGGAAGACTGGAGAGTGATACAGTACAACTACGAAGAACCGAGAACGTTCCAGTTAGTCAGGCGTAGAATGAGATCTGAGAAGCATCAGCACGATAACGGTTGCGGCGTTTGCCTTATCTGATATTGGTTCTGAATCCGTGATCACTGATTACAGAATTACTATGGCTCCGCGTTACATCCAGCTGTGCTCTCCCAGCCTGCTCGGCCAGACACCCCTCACCCTGTTGGCAGGCGGTGCACATTGCTACCAAGCCTGCCGTAACACGCTGCGTGCGCGGCTGCTTACGGATGATTTCCGTCTGGTCTTCCGCAGTAAGTACTGCTCTGGCTGATGACATTCTGCAGTTGGATGCACTCTGACCCGTTACAGCGATGATCGGCCAGAAGGAGCACAGTATCGAGTGCCAGTCGGATACGGACCTGCAGAATCTCCTGCACCACGGACACAGTGATGAGGGCGGACGCGATATTCTGGAGCTGCATGTTGTGCGCTTGCCTCGGCGTGCGCACGGCTCCGCTACTGGCAACAACGCGGATGACGCAACAGGTACGTGACTGATTTACCGATCGTGTTACACTGTGCGTGTTGTCATAGTTTCATTATGGCGTAGCGGAATATAGTTGTCCACATTAAAATCATCGTAAATAACAGATAAAGCGTTTTTTGATTTGAGATTGAAGTGCTTGAAACCCTGTATGATCGATTTCATTCTAACAGTCATTGTTCTACAATTTTCTTACTGATTTCAGTTTCGTTTATGATTTATCCATACGAATTTGTAAAAAATGGTTTCAGAACAGGGTATTAACAACACTGCGCTTTTTTTTGGTATACGTACGAGGCGGATAGTGTCACGATAGTATGCAGAAATCAAGAATGGAGTCTTCATAAATATGCACCGCACCTTTCTTGTGTGAAATTGTGAAAGTCCCTTTGCATGTTTTTGAATTATTTTCAGGAAAATAATTTTTACAGTATCGCGAATAATGCTTAGCGATTTTGTTATTAACATGCAGTTATATATAATAACATGGATATCAATCGTAAGGTGAAGAATATCTATATTTTTATACCTATTTGCCAGTATATAGTATATACTATATACAATACCGCATTTCTCTTGCCTGGAATATATGTTGCGCGTTTTCGATATTTGCTGAGCAAGTGCACCACCACACGCACCTGTGTTTTCTAACGACACTGGCAAGAATATAATGCTGCTCTTATTTGCGTGTGAGTGTGATGTTTTGATTGCAGCGTTGTCGGTGCAGATCACCGTCGGCCATATGTGGAACGCCGTAAAGTTGATGCTGCCCAAGGAGAACGAGGTTCCCGTGCTGCGCGGCATGATTGACCAGATGACGAATCGTATCGCTAGCCGCACCGCGGAACGCTCACCTTCGCCACATCCGGGAATGCTGTGCCGCGGAGTCCGATGGACTGCAACATGTGCTGGACACGCCCGGAAGCAACGGCGGTAATGCTTAAAAAAACTAGCGAATTAATTCAGACAGTACATTTCAGTGATTATAATGAGAATAAATGCGGTAACAAATATTGGTGCAATGCCATTGATTATATAGATAATAGTTACAGTACTTACTTTACAAAAAAATCTTACGAGTACAGTACTAGTACAATAATTATCATTACTGCGTCTTAATGGCTGGTGTTAAATCTACAGATATGTTTCACATTTACACGAATTTTTTAACAATCGTATCAGTATAGAATAATCAGTACATGAATTTACGGGCATTTTTATTATACTCCTATACTATTTGGAGTGGTATTAACATGCTTAAAAAAATGCAGACATGATTCTGTACATGGAAGCAGGTATTCACTTGTTAGTACGAGTATAATAAGAAATGCGGCATAGCTATAAGATCATTTTGCGTACGAGTAGGAATTAATCGCGGACGGGTTGATGGATTTCACAGCATAGTGGCATCTCATCGAGCGAGCGACACCGTCGAGAATTACGGTTCGCGTGGCTCCATCCATGGTAACTTGGAGCCGGCGCTGAATCAACGTAAGATCTGAATCAACACTGAATCAGCGTCCTGGCGTTTATTGCCGCATGTATAATAATTTTTATGATTTTCAGCTATAAATAAATTTCATAATTAGAGCTATATAAGTGAATGATTTCATAGTATTTATTACCTTTTAGCATTACAGTGTAACATTAAAGTTGCTCTTGTGATGTTTCAGGGCCGTTGGTGCAGGATCTGCGTAAGGCTCCTAAACGCGTGCATTTCGCCGAGCTCATGGGAGCGCGGTCGTCGGTGGTGGCCTCGGCGGATCGTCGTAAGCAAGCCAAGCAGGGATCGTCCACAAAGCAGCGCAGTAGCACGCTGCCCTCGTCCAGCCAGCCCCTGATGGTCATGACCATGCCACCGCCGCTGGTGCAGCCGGGCGCCGGGAACCGATCGTGGAGCGAGTATCGGCCAGCAACAAATTCCTGGGCTACAAATGCCCCATGTGTCCGCAGCGGAAGGCGATCAAGCGGAAATGACGATGCATATGGCGTTCCACGGCAGTGCTGGTCCTCTTTCATGCCCGCGCTGTAATTTCGCCACCGACAACCGGAAGCGTTTCAATCACCACCTTAAAGTGCACCAGCAGGAGGAGGCCGAGCAGGAGGCGGCGGCGGCGGCGGCGGCGGCGTGGGGTGGTGCTGATGCGGCCATGCGGAATCCGTCTGTGAAAGGTGGTGAGTGGCTGACTAATTGTTGAACTTGAAACGTTAACAATTCGCTAAAAAATTAAACAATACTAAACCATTGTACGTATAATTGACCAACGTTTAATTTAATAAATTCAGCATTTGGTTTGGATTTTCTGGCATTGAATAAAATTGTTGAATTCATTTAGGATTCAGTAAAATTTTAAATTTTCATAAAAATTTAAAATATAATTGATATATTTGGGTTTTTCCACAGGACTGTATGATTAATGATTTATCCGCAATTCCAACGATAACGTTTGACAAAATTCATTTACCGGTGCTTATTTGCGGCAAAAATTCAATTGGGCTTTTTTTATCTTTTTGAATTAAGTGATGAAAGTGAGGGAGGTATGTACCTGTCTATACGCCCTTATTACCCCCTTAGTTCGATATGTTCAGCGTTTTTTTTATCAGTAAAATTTATAATTGTTTGCGCTAAAGTGTCGCTTATTAATGAGTTTTTTCGACAGGCGAATCGCCATCAGATGCGAGCGAGGAATCAGCCCCGTCGGATCGGCCCTTTAGCGGGCAACTGCTGATGCCGCGCAAGCGTGTCGCTTCCAGTGAGCGCTAGACGGAGACACTCTTCCGGGGGAAGTGTAACCAGCGTACTGCCTTGGATGACTGTGGAATGGTGACACGACAGATGGATAACTCGACAGTTTAGTATTTCGTTGGACAATGAACCCAGTGGTGGATACTCGATGAAAATATAATCGACTGGACTGCCTTTTGTTTTGATACAATTACTGAGTATTTACGATTGGGCTGGCGGTTGTGTACAGGCCGCGATCTCAAACGCGATCTGCCTGACGTGATGTTGATAATTAATTGCGCGTCATTTTGTTGTTATTTTGATCACTCAATTCCGAAGATTTTTAGTACAGGTTTTATGAAAGCGTATTTCGTTGGTTGCACTGATCTTCATAATTTGACCAATGCCGCGCAATTTCTTTTTGATGGTTCATTTTTTTGTTGACTCTTCTACTTTGTTAACTGTTTTTATGGATGCGTGCAAACGATTGGAGTTTGCTTCTTTTTACTGTTATGTAACTTTGGTTTGAATTTTATTAAAAAAAGGATTTCTTGGGTGCATTAGTCGTCGGGCTCGATAAAATTGTACTATTCCGCATTCAAAAAAATTGTACAACTATAGTGTACAGCGCAAAATGCAGACTACGAAAATACACACATAGAAACAGAAATTTATAGGAAATAAGCTTGAAAAAATTTTTGGAAAAAAATTCTAGAAATTATTTTTATTGAAAATCTGGAAGAAATAATTTTTCAGTATACGAAACGTACCAGAATTAACCATTTTCTGTATGAAAGGCTCAAGGATGGATATTACAGAAAGATACAATACAGATAAACTGGCGGTTTATTAAAGGCGGAATTTTGAAACAATTATCTTTACAATATTTTTGATGCCGGTATTTCATGCACTTTGTACAACGATATACCGCCACTTGTAAATTGTCGATCGATCAACTTGATAGTGTGCGAAGTTAAAGCAACATCACTGCATCTGCAGCGCGGATCAGCAGACGAGCCGAGTAACGGTGAAGCGTGAATCACGATCCTCACTGACTCACTGTGCAGCAATATGCCGCCCCGCCGTCGTGTTCAAACCTGACTAATCCTAAATACAGCTGATCGCAGTGTTCGATATGGAGCAGGTTGGGCATTCAGCACACATGTTTCTGGAACGGAATTTTTTAAACATTTCACTGATTTTTGTTACTCAGCGAAGGACTGAAAGCCTAACCATCCAGCCGGAATATCTGTTGTCGGTAACTTTTATTATCCTGCGCAGATTTGAATTTCGTAGCATCGCAGTCCTGTGGTCATCCTGAAAATGACATCATCCACAAAACAGTACGTTAACCGGCTGGATAGCAGGATCCTCTTCGCCAACTATGCCTTCATCCTGGGCATCCTGCAGATTACGATGGGGACGGCACTTCTTGCGATAGACCTAACAGGTACAGAAACTGCTGAGTACATAAACCGAGCCGTTTTCGAGAACTAACCGAATAAAGCAGTCGCAAAGTACGGCTGTGTTTTCTGGAGTTTTTTCGTTTTTTTATCAGATCCAGATGGCATAAGTAAACATTTTTGTTGCAACTGTTATTGCTACTATTAATATTATGATATAAGATTACGGAATTCAGTACACACTCGTATACTGTATGTCGTATACTAGAATTTACATCGAATTACATATTCCATTCAAGACGTTTTTGATGAACGACAGTTCGACTTTATAACAGCAATTTTTTTCCTGTAAAACAATATATCTTCGTAAATAATTTGAGTCAAATAATATGCTTGTTTAATTGAGTTCGATCTTCGTAATAATAGTATGTATGTCGGTAATTACAACGTCGCGTGAGCAAACATGAAATTTTCCTCCCTGACTTATTTTGGAGACCCAGTGATTTTCAGTTATGCAAGATAGCGTATGACGAATGTCTGTTTTAAATATAACTGATTTATAGCAATTTGACTTTGCCGGGTGACCTATTTAACATATATATCTCACTGTTAAGGTGCTCTAGGTTTCTTCAAAGTGCGCCGTGACGAGAAGCTAATCACGTATGACATCGCGTTCGGTGTGGTGTTCGACGTCTTCTTTATCATCTGCGGCACCTTCGGGATCCTGTTGGCCCGCCCCTGCCGCAACGGCGAGACCGCTCCCTCGCGCCGCAGCACCCTCACGCGCTCGGCGGTGATCAACGCGCTGGCCGCGGCCGGGCACGTCTTCTTCCTGGCGCTGAACATCTACATCGTCATCATGTCCTGCCAGCATGAACTGTACGTCAAGGTGCTGGTACAGGGGTGTGTCCTGCTGGCGCTGCACGTCATCGCGCTGCTCATCACCGGGTTACAGCTGACCATCATCGGCATGAATCTGCGCAATGTCGGCGCGGTCATTCTGGTCAGGAGCGCCGAGACACCGGCCGTCTCCGCGTGACCTTTTCTTCGCTGATACCCTGAAGTGACCTTTTCCTTACCGTCTGACCGCAGCGGTTCACCCGCGTCGTGGCCTATGATAATAATTAAACTCAAAAAGTGCAACTTACGTTTCTTTACTGTTTCTCAATTTTGATCTGTTTTTTATAATGTCTTATATATAAACCAAAATTAAAAACGTAAGCAGTAACTTGCCAGCCAATGAATGTGTAAAAATACTGTGCATTTCATTTCGCGTCCTGGTTAAGGAAATTAATCTGGAATTTTTATTTTTACTGTTTAAATTTTGTATAATCATATGGGTGGTTTTCTTTGAACTTTGGGTGTGCTTCTTATGAGAAAAATAAGGCGTTCTGATTATAATAACGCTCGTTGTGGTTCGGTATAAATGGTAATTACTGTACATTGTAGGTACCTGTCCCCTTGGTAAATGGTAATTTTGATCGGCCCAATTGATAGACACGGATCTGATACGGTAATGAAAATTATACATACTTCATTACTGTTTCGGCGCACTGCTGCGGCGGGTGCCGGTTGTTGTTGAACAAGATCATAGACCGGATACCGCATATCATTAGACGTATCGGTAATATCAGCAATTTGCACCTAACACACTCGTGGCCATGGATAGTTTATTGCTGAAGTGTTCAAAAACTAGTCCGACCAGTTGCGTACAGATATATCGGTAATATACGCCGGAACAGTGTACACGCGAGAAAAGCCTGTGGCGTGAAGGGTGAAAAGAGTAATAGAGCTTCTGCTTGCAAAAACATTGTTAGGCCTGCTGCGGGTATAACAGAAGTTTCCACAATGGAAATCAATTTCTCTATCACACGTGCGATCAACTCTCGATGACAGTTTCTCATCGTAATTATGCTGGAGTTCCCTAGTGACAAACTTCCCATGGAACCGTATAATTACCGGCTGGTGTGTGGACAAGGCATCGTGCAACTGGTCATCGGATTGATATTTTCTGCCTATTATACAACAGGTACATCGCTAATGTGCATCTCCAGAAAACCCTAATTACGATTGTCAAAAAACGATACTGATTTATGATGTCGTAATTAAGTGCTATACGTCTGGATTTTTTAAAATTTTTGCCTGGAATACAATTAACGAAAAACATGTTTGCTCACGGGTTGATTTTTAACGGGAATGAACACCTCCGTCAGATTTTATACAAGCAATCCTTCGCATTTAACTGGAAAAATGTACAACTAAATTAAATTAAAGTCGAATTACTGAATAGAAAACTGTTTTTGATTTTTAGCATTGCCAGCGTGAGATATTTTTATTTTATGTATTCATGTACATGGCTCAATCATTGTTTCGTTTATTTATAAAGAGTAACTGATCAAAATAAGTTGTAAACGCAACGTAAAAGCGCCATCGATAATATCATTTTAATAAAAATATCACCAATACTACCACTAAAAGTTTTACTTCGCAAAAAGTTTCTGTGTAGATAGCTAAATTAATTAGGGATAATTCATTTTTGCCCTGGTTAAAGTTGCCCATTAAAAGCGTTAAAGTTAGTACTCGTACAAGAAAGCAAGCAATTTAGCACTATAAGTAAGTACTAAAAAGTAGTATTTTGTCAAATATTTGTTTTTATAATATTAATTATTCCCTGAATCTTGTTCACAGCTCTAATAAAATTCGTGACCACATTTCGTCACTGGCACATTCACAAACTCATTTCCCTCATCACCGGCATCTTACTGATCACCTGTGGAATCTGCGGGATTATCGCCGGACGGCGTTTCCACACCGGAAAGAATCTATCCCGCCGCTTATATACTCTGCTATCGGCGTTTATCCTCAGTCTCATCCTGACCGGCGTGGCACTGTACTTCATTGTCCTCGCGGCGGCCACCACGATTCGCCGGGACACCCACTACGGTGCTGACCACTCGTGGTATTTAGCCAAAGATATCGCCATCCTGTCACTGGACATCGTCGCCTGTATTGTCTCCCTGGCACAGGCCATCGTGTGCAAAATCAGCTGGAGACGGCTAAAGGCTCTGCGGGCACGCGATTCCGATGGACAGGAATATTTGGCTGTTAATCAACACATGCACAGTGTTTGACATGTAATAATATGCACAAATGACGTTTTTATGAACCCGCTGTCCGGTGACATTACAACCCATCTTTATGTCTGCGCTTTTTCTATTTATTTGTACAAAAATTTATGCCCACAGGCCCAGCAACATCTTGAATGGTTTATTATAATTTTAACCATAATACGAAGTTCATTCTCCCTGTTATACAATATTTGTCAATAATAAAAGAAGACTTTATTTGTAAAAGTAGCAACGAGAAACGCATAGGCTTGGCTGTGTATAATGGTGGTGAAAAGTGGAAACGTCACCTTGCAGGCAACTGCTGCCATGTATGAACTTGATTTACTTGATGGGAAAATCATTTCAGAAAGCGATCCGATGTTTCAAGTTGTTTCTTTTTGTGAGCGCCTCCAGGCTCCAGCTATGCCTTTAAGTTGCGGTAGTCTATAAACCACTAAACTTTACTACCCTATTTTTTGCTAAATACTGTAATTACAGCATGTATTGTTTAATACTTCCCCTCGAACACTTTGTCGGATTCTGAATTTCCGGGTTTGTTTTCGCCTGGTCCTTGTTTTTTGGTCACGCGAGCAGACAGCGGTGCCGGTCAAGGTGGTATTTCAAGGGTGAGTGAACTTGAAGGGACAGAGAAGGATGAAATGTACGGAGAAAAAGTATGATGGATTGTGTCGCAGTGAATGATCGATCGCTATTGGTGGGTTACACGAAAAAAATTACGAAAGTAAAGAAATCGAAAACTACAAACATTTTGTCTGCATATCAGCTAGTAAGTTGTACCTGACACGCTAATGTGACTAGCATGGGACGTACAGAGTACAGCTTTTACCGCTGTAACCCAAAGTCCGCAAAATTTCGCAGTTTTTTCGTGCATGCGTTTATTGAATTTCCGTAGAAACTGACCTTTATGATCCATTCACGTTGACGTACCGAACAGTTTCAAAAAGTGTCACAGTGCCTTTAAAGGGATGAAAAGTCGAAGCCGAATACTTTCTATGAACGCCTTGACCAGCACATACTAAAAACTGACAAGACCGGAAGTACGCAGATTCCGAATGCTGTTTTTCTTCGTTGCAAAGATTTTCGCCCAGTGGCATTTGTGGCTGCCAGGCTGCATATTTCTAAATTGTACTAGCTTTATCGTTTTGTATAAAGTACTGAAATATTTAGGCAACATCAGTCGAAATTTGGAGATGTCCGAGAAGGATGGTTTGGAATTTTGGATGAGTCGGCGAAAGTTGCGAATGATACTGTATAACTATTTTTATCTTTGTTCCTAATATATGATTATACATATTATAGGGTCAAGTAAACAGCACAACTAGCGGTTCGTTCAGTACAGTATGCTGTAAGTACGTATTGTCGGAATTGATCCAGTCTTCACAGTAATGTTTATTTAGGCAAAGTGTAGGTTATACTCGTAGCATCTTTTAATTAATGCTGTTCAAATTAGTGAGAATTGAGGATCCTTGCACACAGCCTTTTATTAGCTAAACCATCATGCCAAGACATCAAAGCTAGCGCTGTAATGGTGTAACCAAGTTTTACACTGCAGATAAGTTTTCAGGCGAACCCAAAGACTTAAATCAAGTGGATATACTTACAGGGGTTGAATTTTTCATGATTTTAACTAAGAAACACTTTAGAATGGTCAAGACTGAGTTTTGAGTCGATATCGCAGGATCTCCACATTCGCGAACGGTAAAAGCCAAAATAGTGGTAATCTTAATCTAATGGCTATCGTTCTATTACGACAAAACGTTGAGACTTTGAGGAAAAAATTATGACAGCATCGCCTCAGTAAAATAATTTTTTTCTTCAGATGAATAAATCAGATCAGGTACAGTACTTGCAAGTTGCAACTTCACAAGTACAGAGTACTGTATGTTACTCATGCTGCAAACGCGTGTTACGCCGAAGCATGTGCGCAGCTTTGTCGTGCATGGCAAATTGTTTACTACCCGGTAGTAATAGAGCAAAACTAAGACTCAGAATAGCAGTACAGATACAGTCTGAATTATAACATGTTCCGTGAAGCGGCTATGAAGAGACCCCCGGCCCCCAAGGGGCCATTCATATTTCAGGAAGGGTAAAAAAAAATAAATTATTTAATTTTCGATATCCACGATAATGTGTTTTATTGCTGGAATTCCATTTTCAGGCAACAATACCAGTATAAAGTACTGCAGTTCCAATAAAAACCGTTGCCCCGAGACACTTCGAGAGAATATTTACGGAAAGTAGATCAGCATCGTCAGATAGACACTATGGGACGGCTATTGCTACTTTCAATGATAATGGCGTATTGCTACTGCCGCAGCTTGGTAAAATTACTGTATCTCAATTTTAGACCGCTGCAGTCCAGAGACCGTTTTAACAACGTGTCCTTGTGTTTCCGTCATGCATATTTTACGGCATGTTTAGAGAATGCAAACGATACGTAGACTGATTAGTGCAGACTGCCTGCAGTTATAAACTGATTCAATAACAGCATACGCTCATCATTATCCATTTTCGGATAGTTAAACAAATTAAAAAAGGCAAAGGAACAAAAGTCAGCTAAAACGATCAAAGAAAAGAGTAGTGCTGCTCGTACTGTGCATAGTAGCGAGGGCATTTATAGTGCCGCATCTATAGAAACGTTTCGTGTAAACGGAATTTAAGAGCTAGGTGATTTCAAAATAGAGCTGAGGAAATTGCCCTTCGGCAACAGTTGTAGCTCCGGCATGTACTAGTTTCGGTAATTGGATTATAGCCAATTTCTCTTTGGCTGCAACTGTACAAGCCGCTGCGTCGCTGACGTTCATCTGAAAGCATTAAAATTATCATTCTCATCCTGCGCACTCTGTACTATAAGAAATGATTCATGTAGCACAAGCATGTGCATACATTCCGGATCTAGAACGCTGGAGAACTGGACTGAGAGCGAGCAGCTTCCAGAAGAAGCGGTCACAGTTGCTTTCCCATTGGAACCACTGCATGCCCTAGACAGTAATTATTAAAATCATTATGCTTGTACACACCCCGTCTCGCAATCTGATCGCGCTGGCACATCGTTTTTGTTCATAGTACTCGCTCCACTTACAAGTTTGCAGTGATAGAACGTATCGTTTGCCGAAAGCTACCGGAAACCCCGTTCCCAACTGGAGTTTTGCAACAGTTAAATTTTTCTTCCTGAGAATGGTCCCTGAATGGCGAACACTTTCCAGCTTTTTTCGTTGGTTTTTCGAGCGTCCACTGGTGTTGGCCGCTTCGTAGTCATATATTTTGATGGCCACATCACATTGCACGCCGGCAGGAAATGGACTTTGGACAAATGCACCAACAGCCACCAAGTTAATCGTCGCCATGCTCTGATGAAAAATGTTGTTAAGTGTTAACACTGAAAGCAATAATTAGCAGGTTAACTGTGTTATATGTACCAAATCTGCACTGCAAGGGTGTTGGTCGGGTGTGACAGAAAACCTGAAAAAAACGGACTGTTTATGTTTTGACTCTATCTGGTGCAGAACATCTATTTTTATTGCGAGGTACTGAATACATGATGACATCGGGAAATCTAGCCATGTAGGTCCAACAAGACGAGCTGATCGTTTTGCCAAACCTGGATACAGTCACTTCGATTTGGCTGCCCACTCTTATCCGGTTGACGAATTTCTCGGGTAATGGTGTTTTAGTGAACCAAAACTGAAAAAGCTGGTCGGATTCCTCGGCCGATAATAAACCCGACTGCAAAGCAAATGAGCGTACCGTATTAAATATTACTTGTAGCGTAAATCGTGAACTGCGTAAGCACTTTCCGTCGGACCAGCCCGGACTGGCATCCAGAATGCCCAGTTAGGTACTAGTGTAACACTAATAGTGTACCATTCGGACATTCTATCCGAAAGATGGAATTTCAGTTTTATCGATCATTATCATATGCAGTTTAGGTGAGTGTACAGAGTAGTACTTACGTTATGCATCCATTGCTGGATAAGCGTACATGCATGCGTGCAACGGTAAAAATAGAATACGCCGTTTATAAGAAAATTTAAATCGGCAAAGCACTGAGTGATCGGTAAACATACTAAGCACAACAAACCTTGGCTGGTCCGTTGGCGAATTCCTCGGAGGTCATAATCGGGAATCTTATCAAGAATAGTCTATCGCCTAAAACCGACCGCTGGTTGGCTGCGGTAGGATCAAGTTTCTTCTGCTTGCACTGATGACTGGCCCATCTGTAGTTTAAAGGAAAGAAAACGCAAATCTTTCGAAATCTACTTTAAAGGTTCGGTTACAGTTTCAACATCTGTAAAAATAAATGGTAAAAGCAAACGATCAGTAGTGGACACCTTACGTACTTCACTACTGCGTTGAACACGTCCACTTCTTTCGCCTTTAGAGTGTCGCGACGTAATATTAGTGTCAAAATTTCCAAGTCAATTTCCAGGAAATCTGCCGACTGCAGTACCGAAGCTCCCCAAAGACCGGTCTTCTTCAAACATAAGTTCTCCAAAAAGGTTTCGTCGTACAGCTTTGCCTAGGTAAAACCACGCATGCCGTGCATCCTACATCTTATTAACAGGGTGCTGCTGCATGTACGGGAAGCAAGGGCACTGGCGGCATGCAGCGCCGTGCAAGGGTATTTTTTGTTTTCGATTTTCGAACTTTACAAAGCTTACATTATGTTTTTATCACTTTGCAGTGTAAATCTGACAACGTTGAAGCAATGACGGTTTATCTGCTTTGACAGTGGCAACTTGCGTAAGTATGTAACCTATCGCTTGCTTCTTCTCGAAAATACATATTTTGTTTCAAGAAATAGGGATTTTACAACTACAGTCTTCCAATTTTACGTGGTCATAGTCATCGCCCGTTTCCAGATCCCCTGCACGAACTATGCTGCCAACGCCCGTGTAAACCCGTGCACTCAGTAAATTCGACTAACATTATAAACGTATTCACATAATCTAAACATCCATAATCAGTGAGACACTGAATGGAAATACCTAAATAAACCAAGAAAGTACAGGAAATTACCTGAATAAACCAAAACAGACAATTATCGGCAGACACATTCTCTTTCACATATTGCTCGCAGGCGTTCTTTAAAACTGGGATACCGTATTTTTCCGCGGCATACAGAGTCGAAAATGCGGTTGATTTGTTAAACGGCCCAATCTGATCGTAATAGATATATCTACGAGTTGTATGACATTATTAACATGATGTACCTTACAATTTTGCCCAAACCATATGCAGCAGATGCAATGTACCTTAAAACGTTACTGAAGGTCTCCGAGTCCATGTCAGTGATTTTAACAACGCTTGCACCAGCCTCCTTCATTACTCCGTAAAACATCGTTTCAAACACCGCACTGCCCATGGCCAACAAAAGTCTGCAAAATCCAGTTGTCCAATGAACACTTTTTTTCAGTTTCACGTTTGAATATCGTTAGTCGTTACATCAGCATATCAGACTAACGATCAATATAAAACAAATCAATAGAGTATGTAAAGCATAAAGCGATCTGCAGTGGTGCATTATAATTTTAGATCTACAACTGGGAGTCTGAGACTAATCTATACTTCTAACACAATTAAAAATATGTAGTTCGCCCAGATTCCAGACGACCACTGGCTTGGCTGTGCTAGGCGGCGATGCCAATCGGGTTCTTCACAGCTTTGTGGAACGAGGGTATGGGAGACACCACCGGTTGGGGAAAAATTAAATCAGGATGGTTTTAACTTGAAACTTTTAGACTTTTTCCGCTTGAGGGACTACACACCCTAAAGACGGGCTTGGTGCCAGTGATTTCTTACTTGTGTGCTTTGATGTCGACACTGGGGCTATCTAGCGGCTGAATCCGGCAGGTGACATCGCTCAGAATATCCTTCCCGAAAATATGTTTGGCCCTACTGGCGATCGTGGATAATACACTCTGCCATCCCCAAATTGGCTCTACCGCTTGAGCAATAGAGTCCATTGTGGATGCAGTGGTAGCCCGTGTAGTCCGTCAGAACGACGCTGGAGGGTGTCCACAAGGATTTGACACCGGAAGCGCACGAAGAATAAAGGACAAAGCGGAAAAGGATAGCGCACCGAAAAAGGAAAGCGGAATAAGAAACTTTGCAGCGGTGCTTCTCGTCAGTCAATGACAACTTTAAAAGTCGACGGATCGGTCGCTAATGAATTGTGCCGGCAAATATTTGGCAAAACAACAGCGCAATGGCAATTTTCTGAAACCTGATTGAGTAAGCCGCAGAGGCCGGCATAGCGTGGAATCGCTCGTGGCACCGCCCACACAGAGAGCTGCATTGCTATTGGTCGGTGTGATGAAATAGCACTCGATGAATCAGCATGATGGTGCAGCGCTCTAAACTCCAGAGGATGCGCAGAGTCAAAACGCGGACTTACATCGAGCATCTGCGACTTACATCGAAACGAGAAATAGGCGTACCAAGTCCCAATTGGCTGGGCTTCGATGTAAGTCGCTTTTTGCTCGATGTCTGTCGGTGGGCGTCGACGAAAACCGTTACGAACATGGGCGTACCTTGTAACGGGTCTAAGCGACGCCCAGGTACTTACAAACTTCGCGTTTCCGCGATTTTTATTGGTGGGTCAGCATTCTGAGTTAGATCGAGGCTGCCCACCGCCAATAGCAAAATTCAAAACCACGTGATCGTTTCTCCATACTTTGGGCTGACAGCGACGGTTACACAGTAAAACGACAGGGTTTTCCGTCTTTTAAAGTTTTTAAGTTCTTGTCTTCTAGTTTGCTGTTGAAATCAGAAATATGAAACTGATATTCATCTATAGTGCAGGGAAGCCTGTATTCTGGGAATTCAGATAAGACGGTGCAGTAAAGTGTTCGGCCAGATGCACTCCTGTTTATACTGATCGCTTGCTACCTGATTATCGTTCAGTTTAAAATAATTTGAATCCCACCGCAGCTGACTAGCGTATTACAAATTGATTCCGACTTGCCAAAAGGTCCTTGAATCCTTGTGGCTGTCTCTAACGATTTGTGGTATACTTGTCATGTATTGCTGCCATTTGCTGCCGTCGTATCGCAGGGAACACTGCGCGCTGGCTACGCAGCTGTGGGTGTTGGTTGCAGTTTACTGCATTCTGTGCTTGAGTTCCTGATCGGATGTGGAAACCCGACTACGATTTATACTCCTGGACAACTCCATTTTTGGTTTTTCGTCCGTATATTTTGACAGAAAATTGTATGTTTTGCTTGACCGTGTGGCGGGTTCCGCTGTGATCTGGCTACCCAGAAGTATTGTTAGTATATCTTGTTGTTTTTTTTGTTTATTTTAGCTTAAAATAATACTGCATAGCAGTACCTTAGCGCGCCTTGTTTTGGTACTTTAAAACAGGTTATGTGTCGTTGTTTAACTTTTAGAAAAGTAGTGCTACAGTTTATCGTTAGAAGCATAATGTCAGCACAGCACGCATATTACATGTCAGTCTGTATGTCCTGACTGTTGTGCGCATGCGGTCGAGTTTAGCCCGTACATACATACATGCAAGACGTAAACGGGCGCGGTTTTGCGTTCGATGTCTGTATGTAAAGGGTGAAAAACGTTGTAAGTAAGTCCCCGAAGCGCCTGTGCGCATCTGGTCTACTACTGCAGAAGAAATACGAGTTACAGATAGTTCAATGGCTGTCTTCGATTAAAAAAAACACACGCTAAAACAATAACTGTAAAAAATGGTCGATGTTTCGGCTCCTAACAGCGGCATAGAAGTCAGGGGAAAAAGAATGAACAAAACGCTGGAATTACTGTATATGCTTCTTGAGTTTCAAGTTCACGTTTCAGTCTCAGGTTATTCAACACGTATCACGTACACTCATTCCTTATTCCATCTTCTGCGCCTGTTTTTTATCATGGCGGTCGTTGTACGTTTATCGAGATATGAAATCGAGATGCAAGCACGACAACTACTTACTAAAAAGTTTTTGCGAAATTCCTCTTGCTAAATTAACTTTCCGTTGAGTGTTTCCAAGGAAGGGTGCAAGGAAGCTGAAGTGACTTATTGAAAGGTCAGTAAAGGCATTTTACTGAAGACGTCCTGAATAAATGAAACAGATGGAGGGAGTTTAATCGGAAGACTGTTCCGAAAGTGCCGGGAGCCCAGTGCTGTCAACATTTTGTAATTGCCAGTATACCGTCAATTCCGTAACAGACACTTTCGTTTCATGCCTTTTCGGATTCGATAAGCAAACATCCGGCGGTATTACGTTTTGTGATGGGCAATAATCCACTAAGTCCTAATGTTGTGACTGCTTTTCAAAAACATAGGGCAAGAAATCATGCGCAACTTGGTACTAAAGTATTCCCATAATTTTTGAATTAGATACTCTGGCCTTGAAATGTTAAAAACCTTCTAAGCCTTCAAATATGAAGATTAAAGTAACCCTGTTTGAGCACGAACTCAAGTTCGCATTGTGGTAACAAAAATGCAAATGTTTTCACAGCACATAATGCATTTACAGTGTAATGCTTAGGAGATCAATTTGAAACTCAATCTCAAGCCGGTTCCTTAATAATAATTTTCCTTAATTTTAGTAAGTCATGAGCACATTACTAATTAATTATTCTCTTTTTCTGAAATGCATAATCTCGACCAGTAGTGTACGGTCAAAAGCGTTTGTCGTGTAACTCGTATTACAGGTACCTGTTAAGGGATACAATATATTGTAAATTTGTAACTATCTAGTAATAAACCCGCCAAACTGCGCTATCGTAACGAAACTTTTCGTTTTTCCCACGTATATTAAGTTCGTTAGGGGTTAAAGTATAAGTTCATCGTTGCGATGTACAAATAATTCAGACACACACCTTAGTTCAAACTTTTTCCTATTGTGAAGCCAAATTTTAGGCTTGTTTTACTGAATATTCACTGGTCAGAAAAGTAGTTTCAGAAACTTTATTCACAAAATCTCCGGAAATACAACGTTGCGCGTGTAAGTTCCAAGTCTGCCAGGTAGAGTTCGGGTACAACTTTCACTTTTATATCGGAAAAAGATGATACTCTAGAGAATGCCACATAAAGCTGGCCATGAGAAAAAACTTGGCTCTGGTGAAATATAGACCCAAGCGTTTGAGCGTTTGTCCTTAGATTTGTTGATAGTCATTGCAAATGCCAATCGAACAGAAACTGTTTCCTTGATGCTGAAGGCATTGTGGGATCTGTCGTGGTCAAGACAATCGAGGCAAAAGCACGCGCTGTCCTGCACATTCGCCGGTCAAAACTTCCACGTCAGGTAGTTTTCGTGAGCGAAACGAACAACCATCCTGGTGCCGTTCACCAGCCCTGATTTCCCATTGAAATTGCGCAGCAGCATCACCACTGCCCTGGTTTGAGGAAGAGCTCATGAGGTGGCAACCAAGCAGGCGTTAAGCTGTGTATGAACTCAGGATAATTCGTAAAATCAGCGTCACTGTCTCCCTCCACAAATCGACGCTAAAATATGACCGGCCATCCCGGGTAATAACTGCTTAACAACATAATCATTGATTTCCGCGCAGTGGTCGTTCTTTGGCGCTAGAATGGCAGAATCAGCCAGACAGGAAACATTCGATGGGTCAATTGTCTGACCATAGACGTCTCTGACTAAATCCATTGCTGACCCTTCAAACACACATTCTTTGGGAACCTCGACCATATCTCCCGTCGCATCGGAACAGTTTGTAAGCGTCCTTCACCTAGAAACATCAACGACCATGCACAGAACAGGATGACTATTCAGGACCCGTTCAGAACAAAATAATATACAACGTACCTAATTCCAGCAGCCACTTGCTAAACACTTGCTGTTCAGGCCCGGTTCGCATGTTGGCGGTCAGTCGTCTGACAGTAATCATAGGCCACAGTGAACTTCTTTTGATGCTTTCTTCCACTATCCTCCCACGCGATCCATGCCGTACGACAGGAAGTACCTGCCGGAAATCCCCACAAACACAATAGTTTTTCCACCGAATGGCTCATCAATTCGCATAGGTCCGCAAAGACGGTCGAGGGTAGAAAGCGCATGTTTAGGTGCCATAGGCGCTTCATCCCAGATTATCAACGAAGCATCGATTAACTTGCGGGCTTCAGGCGAAGAAGGTTTCATACTGGATACGGACGTTTCATCTAAGTTTAAAACTTGAATACTGAATGGCAGGTGGCCGCCCTTAAGTAACGTTGCCGCAATGCCGGTCAGGCTACAGCTATGACCATCTTTCCACGTCCTCTCAGTATGTGGGACAAACAGCGGTACACATATGTCTTCCTGTTCCACCGGGACCATCAAGAAACCAATGCTTGATGCCGAATCCTACATCCACTGCGTGAAGCACTTCCCGCACAAATGAACTGTTCTGGATTTAATGTTTCTTGCAGTCGATCACCTTCACTCGCCTCTTCTTCTACGTTGTACTGGTCAAAGTGGGTGTCCACTGGGCGCACTGGTTGTGGTAGTCCAAGATGTTTACAGTTGAGTCCATGTTGTAGCAGTACACTCGATATCCACAGTGCTCTGCTGCTGCTCTTCTTCGGAATAGGTGCGGCGGTAATCTTCCGTCAAACTGGCCTTGTGTTCTTCAAAGGTGTGCAGGCATCAGCAGGTACGCAGAAAGCGCAGATGTAAAGCAAACATCTCCTAATGCTTTAGGCATGCTGGACAGGCTTGCTTCCGATAAACACGCTCCATTCAGAATCGTCGTCCAATAGTTTTAACGCTTTGGCGGCTTTGAAAGCTGCTGTGCAGAATCCCATAACAGTTCGAAGCGATTCAAACGATGTAGCACCTACAGAAGAGGCGTAACGTACAGGACATGGTGAAAGTGTGAGTTTATTTAACTAAAAGTGATAACGGACTGCCCTCTAGATGATGGTGTACAGTCTACATTTTTTAAGTTACGCATTGACTCGTACATGTAAGTACGTTTTACATATACTCAAACATCTAAAACAGTAATTCACTCTCAAACATGCATTTTTCGAAAAGTGAAAATATACTTGAAAACTGCTTATACGTACCTTTTCTATGCAGCAGCAAAGGCGTAAAAGAATCGCTCACGATCGGTTGGCGAAACCGCGTACATTCGCCATTACAGTGTCACCTCCTCGTTGTCGGGGGTGCCACTTTTTTT